GGGAGTCGAGGTTGTCGCGGGCGCTCACCTGTCTATCTCCCCCTCATTGTTTTTCGTTGTTTTCTCCTTCCCGTTTTTTTAATGTTTTGCTCTCTCTCTCTCTCTCTTCTCTCTCTCTCTCTCTCTCTCTCCCTCTCCCTCTCCCTCGCCCTCGCCCTCTCTCTCTCTCTCTCTCTCTCTCTCTCTCTCTCTCTCTCTCTCTCTTTATCTCTTTATCTCTTTCTCTATTTCTCTTTTTCTCCCTTTCTCTCTCTCTGTATGTATATGTGTATATATTTATATGTATTGAGATTCATTGTTTAATGATCTCTCTCTCTCTCTCTCTCTTTCTCTCTATCTCTCTCTATATATGAATATGTATATATGTATATATATGTGTGTATATATATAATATATGATGCTGTCTCCCTGCCTCTAGGCCCCGGGGGCGATCGACCGGGGGCCCGGGGGGCCGGGTGCGCGCAGGCAGGCACGCATGCGTAAGTTTATTGCGGGGAAGCCGCCCTGGCCCCACGCCCGCTTGCAAGTGGGCTGAGGCCCCCAGTCCGGGCCCGCCCGGCCAGGCCCGCCCCCAAAACGGCATTCCGCTCAGAAAGAGCACAGGTGACTTACTTTCCACGCGGGACCCTTCCTCCGCGAAAACTCGGAATTAAAGTCTGGTGCCCCGAGTGAAATCCGCGTTCCTGCCATTGCATCAGCAGCCCATCCCAGACGGACGTCGGCTTCGCTCGAAAAATCGTTGTCCGCGTCTTCTGGGGGAAATACACGGCTGCTGCTGGGCGGAAGGGAGGCCCGCGTTTCTCGCGGGGGCCCGAGGGCAGCGTCTGGGCGCGCCGGCGCAGGCCAGCCCCCGAGCCCTTGTCTGGCGCACCGCGCGAGGCGCTCGGCAAGCGCGGCTACAGGGCCCCGCGCCCACGGCGCCCCCCCCAGGCATGGGCGGCGCACTCGGGCCGGAGAAAGGGGGGGGGCAGTCGGCGATGGGGGGGTCTCTTCCTCGAGCGGCAGGTCGCTTCAGCGCTGGCCGCGCGCGAGCGCTTTTCCGCCCCGTCGCCCGTCTCCAGCTCGCTTCAGGTCCGCGCCGCGCGGGTCGAAGTGGCGCTCTCATTTGGGCGGCGGGGAAAATGTCCGCGCTGTTTGGCGGCGGGGGCAACGCGCGGCTGCGTTTTATCCGCTTGCGGGCCCATTTCTCAGCGGCCTGTCAGGCGAGATGATGCCGGTTCTAGAAAATGTCATCCGTGAACATTTTTGGGCGAGATTTCCCCGCAGCTCGCGCCCGCGGGCCCGGGGGCGCTCATCTGGCTCGCCTCCGAGCGAAAGTGCGCCAGGCAAACGCTTATTTGACTTAGTGGGGCGGCGCGCGGGGCTTCGCCCTTCGCCCAGACGGACTGGGCGCTCTCGGTGCCGCGCCCCACTGCCCTGGCAAATGGGCGCGCGGACAACTTCCAGGCGCTCTGCTAGCAGCGCGGGCGCGCGCCCCGAATCTCCCATCGCTTGTCGCGCGTGATTATTGGGCGCTGGTCGAGCGGGGCAGATTGGAACTGCTTGGACAGGCGCGCATGTTTCCGCGGGGACAGCCGCGCCCACCGCAGCTGAACGTCAGTCCTTTTGCCCTGCTGCCGAAGCCAAGAGAAGGCGCGGTCAATGCTGCCCCAGAGGAGGGACGATGGAAGGCGCGATTAAATTTAGACCTCCAGAGAGGACGCGCGCGCGATCGGCTTCCAGAAGTTGGGGTGGCCGCGGTGCATTTGACGCGGCTGTCCGGCGCCTCCAGCACGGCGGCTTCGCGTTTGCCATCGACCTCCAGGTTTTTTTCTCCAACTGGAAAGTCGGCCCTGTCGTCGCCGATATTCGGGGCTTCTTTTGCCCAGCACGGCGAGGGCGATGCGCATTCCCCCCCTTTGGATTGGCCCCAGCACCAGGAACGAATGGCGCCAGCATCCAACAACTTCTTCGTCCTTTGCGGTCTTCAGGCGACGTTGACCTTTTTTTTGTTTTCGATTGCGTGGGCGATGTTCGGAGAGGGATTCACCGCGGATCCTGCGTGGCCCCGCCTTGAATCGGCAGCGCGGTTCTGCGCTGAGATCGGCGCGCCGGTCAGCAGCAACCGACAGGCGTCCATCCTTCCAGCGCGCGCCAGCGTTGGATTGTCTGGATATTCAACTCAGCGAATGAAGCGGTCACCGTTTCCCAGGAGAATTGCGATGAAACGCGCGGGGCCATGGCAGACACCCCGGCGAAGGGCGGTGCCCGCGAGCTCCGTGCCAAGGACTTGTTGTGCGCGGCGGGCTCGGCTGCGCATCTTGGCGAACAGTAGCCACGAGCTCGGCAACGGCTGCGCCCTGCGCGGGCAGACTTCAACGCAGCAGGCGCTCATGCCCTCCCCAAGCGAATCCACCATCGAAGCTTCCCGATCTCAGCCCTTGGTTTGAGCTTCAATTATTTGGCAAACCGCCGCGACGTGTCCGCCGCAAACCGGCCAGACAATTGAGCAACTGGGGCCGCGCGTCGCCCGCGTGCGGCCCGTAGTCCCAGCTTGCGCAGGACGGGTCCATCCGCGTAGCTGAGACGCACGTCTCTGGACATACAGGGTGGTTCTACCATCTGCGTCATTCAGGCAATTCCGCATCGGGCGCGTGGCCTGCCACATTGGTTGCCGACGATATCTGTTCCCTCGATGGGATAAACATTAACATTAAAGAACTGTGGGCGATTGTCAGATGCATCCAAGATTCCCGGCGGAGTTTGCGGGGTGGCGCGCGTTGTTTAGCGCCGACAATACTTATGCTGTGCACTGCGCAACCGTGAGATATGGAGCTGCCCCTTCTTTTGATCAGTTCGCTTCGATATTTGAGCTCGCCGAGCGGCGTGCCTCTTGCCGAGCCTGGGCGGTTCGCATCAGTGGCGCGGCCAACAATGCAGCCGATCTCGGTTTCCGCGATGTTCAGATTTTCGCGCGTTAGAATTCTGATCGCGCGTGCCAAACACTGTCCCGTGCCCTTGCTGGCAAGTGCCGTGCGCCCGTGCGCCATTGGGTCCCTGGCCTGGCTGCCGCGCCCCAGGCCCGTGTCCTTGCTGGCCAGCGCCTGCCTCGTCGCAGGTCTGCCGGCGACCCTCGTCGCCACCTCGCCGCTCCTCGTCGCCAAGGCGCATGGGCCCCTGGCTCGGCTGCCAAACCCCGGGTCGAGCCCTTGCTGGCCAGCGCCGTGCGCCAGCGGGCCCTTGCCCTCGCAGTCACGGCCCAGGTGCCCTTGCTGGCCAGCGCATTCCTTGCCGCAGGTCTGCCGGCGCCCCTCTTCGCCACTCGCTGCCGCCGCTCCTCGCCGCCGAGGTGCAGGGGCCCCCAGCCTGGCCCCCACGCCCCCGGCCGGCGCCTTCCTCGTCGCAGGTCAGCCGGCCCTCGTTGCACATGTTGCCGCCGCGCCTCCCCGCCAAAACGCAGGGGTCCCTGGCCTGGCTGCCAAACCTTGACCCGTTCCCTTGCTGGCCAGCGCCGCGCGCCAGTGGGCGCCCCCCAGGCGCGCGCCCTTGCTGGCCAGCGCCTTCCTTGTCGCGGGCCTTCCGGCGCGCCTCGTTGCCGCACGCTGCTGCCTGGGCGCCGCGCCTCAGATCCGCGCCCTTGCTGGCCAGTGCCACTCGCCAGTGGGCCACTGGCTTGGTTGCCACACCCAGGCCCGCGCCCTTTCTGGCCAGCGCCTGCCTTGTCGCAGGTCTGTCCGCGACCCTCGTCGCCGCGCCGCTGCCGCTTCTTGTCGCAATTTTGGGGCCATTCGCTTGGCCGCCACGCATGTGGGCCCATTCGGATGTTTCATTTCGTGTACAGAAAGCCGATTCGAGCGTTTCGGTGCTCGGATTGCCGATTCGGGCGTTCCTATGCTCGGATCGCCGATTCGTGCTCGGATAGCCGATTTGGGCGTTTCCATGGGCACATTGCCGATTCGGCGTCTCCGTGTTCAGATTGCCGATTTGGTCGTTTCCGTGCTCAGATTGCCCATTCGGGTGTTACCACGCTCAGACAATCGATTTTGGCGTTTCTGCGTTCAGATTGCCGATTCGTGATCAGATTGCGGATTCGGGCGTTTTTGTGTTTAGACTGTTGATTCGGGCGTTTCCGTGTTTAGAATGACAATTTGAACGTTTTTTGTGTTCAGATTGTTGATTCGTCCGTTTGTGTGTTCAGAGTTCCCAATCGGGCATTTGGATGCTCAGATTGCCGGTTCGGACGTTTCCGTGTTCAGATTGCCGATCCGTGCTCAGATAGCCGATTCGGGTGTTTCAGTGCTGGAGTTGCCCCTTCGGGCGTTTCCACGTTCAGGTTGCCGATTTGGACGGAAAGCGTTTCCGTGCTCACATTGCCGATTCGGGCGTTTTCGTGCTCGGACTGCCCATTTGGAGGTTTCCGTGCTCAGAGGTCTGACCCGGGCGTTTCCATGCTCAGATTGCCGATTCGGGCGTCGTTCAGTTTGTCAGATTGCCACCGAGAAGCTGGGGCAGCGTGCCGTTTAAAAGACCGGCCCGCCGGCCATTGAAACTAATCCAAAAAGGGTCTAAACAGATGAAGCGAACAAGTTGATTTACAAAACCGAAGATATTTCTGTAAACCCGCCCAAAAGAGATTTTCAGGGGCCGTGGACACGTCTATACGGGGATCCGTCGACGCGCTTGCCCGCCAGGTTTGGGCCTCAGGTCGTTTTCACTAAACCACGTTTTACCAAAGGGGGGTCTGTCCATCCCCGATTTGGGGCGATGCACGGGGGCGCCGCGATTGGTGCAGAAACCGAGCCCTGCAGGGCCCCCTCTGGGGCCCGGCAGGGCCCCAGAGGGGTCCTCGAGGACCCGAAGAGAGCACCTCTCTGCCCCCCCCCCCTCCGCGTATCCTCTCCCGCGCAGTCGCGCCCACCGAGAGCCCTGCAGCGGCGGAACCCCTCGGGAGCCGTTGCCCTCGGGACCCGCCCCGCCCCCCCCCCCCACCCCCGACGGCGACGGGTGCGACCCGCGGCGAGGAGCTCCAGCAGCGGCAGGCCGCCGGGAACCCGTGCGCCGCGGGCGGCCGCGGCGTCGCCGGCTCGGCGACGCGCTCAACCGGTGCTCACGCAGCCAAGGCGCTGAAAGAAGGAACAGTTTGGGTTCGGAAGGGGCTTGATGTTTCGTAGGTGTTGTTCCTCCAGTCCTCCTCGTGAACGAGGGCAGCTTTAGGGGCCTCAAATGGGGCTTCGTTCTTTATTCAGCGTTCCTTCTTTCAGCGGCCCGACTGTCGTATTTCAGTGGGCCCGTGCTCACCCAATTCCTCCAGACAGGCCTTTTGGTAAGGCTTCGTAAGATCATTTCGGAGGCCATTACATTCAACACCGATCCAAACATCCTAGCATCGATATCTCCGGGAAAACGAGGAAATGTCTCCCCAAGACCCCAAACTTACTTGTCCCGGTTGGTTTATTCTCGCGAGCATGGGGTCAAGAGGCTCCCCCCCGGAGTAACCCCTCGGGGGCGTGGCCTTTTCGGGGCGCGCGCGGGGGGCGAGAGTTCTAGTCTCACAGGCCGCTGCAGTCGCACCGCATTGAAAATCGCTTACGGTCGGACCGAGGTATAAGATCGAGGTCTGTTCGGGGAGGGCATCTTAATGTTCTTCGTGTTTGTTGGATGCTTTTGTGGATGGTACCCTTGGATTGTTTGTGTGCGTGTTTGAGAAAGGGCGGGCCTTTTCTCAGAAGGCTATGAGAAGTTGCCGTAGCCTCCCCCGAAGACACGAAACAGCTTCTCGGAAGGCCGGAGGGCCTCTGGGAAGCCCCCGCGGCCTTCTGAGAATGCCTCTTCCTTCACATTTCCCCCCTTCGCCAGCCGCCCGCAAGCGGTTAGGCCGCGCACCAGAGGTCCACTGTTGGCCAGGGTCGCGTCTTGCGTGCAGCCAGCCCAGTGGGGCGGGGGGAGGAGCGATGGGGCCCAGCAGTTCGTGGAGCCCTTCCGTCGGAGGTGCTCGGCGGCGCGCTCCCTGCGCAGGTCGGTGGTCTCGGGAGCTGTGCGGGAGCCTCCGCGCGGGCAGACGGCAAGAGACGGGCGGGACCGTCTCGGTGCTCTCCAGGAGGGACGGGCAATCAGGTTTCTGCCATCACCATAGGCGTTCGCTTCAGTAATGCAGCTCTGGCAGGATGGGGCTGGCGGTATTAGCGATAGCGAAACTAACAGGCGGGAGGCCCACAGGGGGAGGCCAGACGAAGTGACGGTTTGGGGACGCCCAGGAGGCTCGCATCGGTTCTCCAAAGTCTGCGGGCACGGGTGTAGAGACGGGGCACCAACGGAAGCCTTGACGAGAGCATTTTCCATGATGTTACCTTTCGTATGTAATCTTATTTCGGACCGTGGACAACGTAATTAACTGTATTGGCGATGTCTGAAGAAGCCTGGACTTTGTTGAAGATAGCCACCGTGGTGAATGCCTTCCTCGGATGGCTACTCGACATTTGTTCTTGCTCTGTTGTTGTAGATCTATAGATATATATATAGAGAGAGAGAGAAAGCACACACATACGAGAAGGGGAACCAGGTGCTGCACCCCATTTGCCACAATGGGGCTTACTAAGACGTGCAGCTGACAATGTTTCAACGTGTGCTGTATTATGGCGATGATGACGATGACGGTGACGGTGACGGCGACACAGAAGAAGAGTATAATGAGGATGGTGGTGGTGATGTTGATGATGTTGTTGATGATGATGATGATGAAGATGATGATGAGCATGATGATGGTGATGATGATGACGACGATGCTTACGTTGCTGATGATACCGATGATGGTGATGGTGACGATGGTCATGACAATGTTGATGATGACGATGATGATGGTAATGCTGATGCTGATGCTGATGCTGATGCTGATGATGATGATGATGATGATGATGATGATGATGCTGATGCTGATGATGATGATGATGATGATGATGATGATGATGATGCTGCTGATGCTGATGATGATGAGGGCGGCATGCCTCCCGGAGGAGGATGCCAGTTTGCCGCAAACAGATGGTTCCTCGCTTCTGCGCTCAAGGAGGAATTCAACCGGGTCCAGAATGTGACACGGGCCGCGGGCCTGAAGAAGGGCATTTGCTGGCTATCCAGGGAGGTGTCCCAGCCACTCTCGCCTGCGGCATCCTCGCAATATGTTCATTCCCAGCTTTCAATTCCTACGAATTGCCACGGCTTCCCATGAGCCCCGCACCCATGGATCCACGCATTTAAGGCTCAATGCATTATGCTCATTCATCATGTTACACACGCAGAGAGGTTCCCCGTACACTTCTGCACGGAACTACCGCATGGAGCCAGCTCGCCCACATCACTTCCATGGAGTTGACTAATTTGGCTTCCTTGCGTTACTATGATTGCCTGTGTTCTATAGTTGTTGTTATGTCTCGTTCCCTTGGTGGTGATGGATGAGGAGCAAGGAGGAAAGGCAGGATGCAGGGAGGGGGACGGGCCACGACAGGATGCTGCGGGACGGGATGGTGGTATTGGGCTGGACTTCCAGTCAGTCATCTCCCGCTCCTTCCTTCTCCTCTCGCTCCTCCTCCTCCTCCTATTCGCGTTGTCTCGCTGTTCGAAATGATCCTCCTCCTTCTCGCTATCGTTATTCTCCCACTTCCTTTCCTTCGAGCATCTCGTTGTACTCGTGCGGCCCGCTGTTAGGTCACGAAGGTCACCGCTGGCGCCGGCGCCACCCGGCCTCCGGCGCCACCATGCCCAGAGGTGTTCTGTGGGAGTTGTTGGGGGGGGAGACGGAGGAAAGGAAAGGAACGGACAATCAAACGTGAACAAGTGGAGGGGAGCTCTACTCGCGTGGAAGGGGGGATCGGAGGACGGGGGGGAGGAGGAGGTGGAAAGGAGGAGGAGTGCGCCGACCAGGGCGAGAATCAGGGAAACAAGGGCGAGGACGAGGAGAGCACGAGAAGGGCGGGAACGAGGCAGAAGGAGGATGGGAGGGATGACGAGGCTGAGGATTAGGGAGAGGGCAGGCGACTATCTTTGGAGCCAGCGGTGCAATCCGCCAGCCCCCGCCGCGCAGTTGGCTCTAAGTTTCTTCACTTCGACGGTTGCCCACGGTCACGCATGGTCAGCAGCCGCTGTGTGCGTGCAAGCGCACGTGCACAGTGACGGTGAACGACTCGGTGGATGGCAGGAGGCCCGCGGGCGCCTCCCACTCGAATGGGTGGCGATACGGGTTCCCAGCCTGCACGGGCACGGCAGGAGCTGTGATCACTCGCTCAGGGCAGAGTCGCTTGCTCCGGGGAGTGCCCTCGCACTTCGCAGGACCCGATCACGCCTGATCCGCGGCGTAATCCCGCGTAGCAGCCCCCCCCAACCGGGGCTTCCTCCCCTCCGACGAAGCGCTGAAGCGCTCCCAGTAGCTCCCGCCCGAGACGATGCCTGGACGGCAGGGCGGCCCTTGCGTCCAAGACTCATATCCATATCCAGTGCCTCTTGTTTTTTTTTGGAAGCGGCGCCACAAGGCCGAGGCGCACTGGATATGGATAAACATCGATCCTCTAGGTGGCTAATGTATATCCAATTCCAGTGCGCCTCGGGCTTCTTGGGAAGGGAGCCCGAAACTCCATACTGCAGTGGATATAGACAGAAGTATTGCCCGCAGCCCCGCCCACGGGGGAAGACTCGAGGCAGGACGGGGCCCAGCGGCCCCCCTCACGTGGGGCGGTGACGGGCCTCCCGCAGCAGGGGCTCTCCCCGAATGCGGGCACGGAGGCGCGAGCGCCGCGGCCCTCGCCCCGTGTGGGTGCACGTCCCAGGGTCAGGCGGGGCTACGACGAGGATTAATCCGTTCCAGAACGCTCTGAGAAGGCCGCGACGTCCGACACATCCTCCAGAGCCGCCAGATCTCAGAGATTCTCGACTTATCCTCACCCGAATTTATCCTCGTCCTGGCGTCGTCTTACAGTTACAGGGCCTCCATTCGCATCGGAGGTCGGGGCTCCGGGGAATGGGGGTCGATGCCACGGGGGCCAGGCAGAGCGCCAGATCTTGCAGGATCCTGCAGAGCGAGGGGTGCACTGCGCCGGGCTTGGGCGCAGGATCCCGCAGGATCCGGCAGAGCCTGGCTGACCCGGGTTTGGATGGACCCGGGTCGGCAGATCTCCGCGGAGGAGTGGGGAGGCGCTCGAACAGACAGGCAGCCCCGAAGACGATAGCAGACAGCCTTCGCAGGAGGGGCTTTCCCCGAGTGGGCACAGAGGCACGAGTGCCGCGGTCCTCGCCCTTGTGGGTGCACGTCCCGGGGCCTCCATTCGCATCGGAGGAGGAGAGAGAGGCGCGCGAGCAGGCAGGCAGCCACGAAAACGAGTGCAGGCAGCCAGCCGCACCAGCACAGCGGGGTACCGCAGGGATTGGCGAGGGGCGGGAGGCAGAAGCGGCAGTCACACCGTAGAGCAGCAGCTGTGTGGCGAGGCCAACGCAGAGCCAAGCGAGGAGGCTCAGAGGCTCACTCGGGCTCACTTCGGTCGCTCTAGGCCGCAGTGGGGTGAGGGATGGCCCGTGCCCGAATTTTTCTCAACCATCCTGTGGTTTTGGGTTCTTGTTTTGAACAGACAGCGCCCTGCGTTATCCTTCCTCTCCTCGTCGCTCCTCCCTCCTCCCATCCCTGCCTCTGCCCTCCGCATGTCGATTTCGGCACACCGACCTGTTCGTGGCCCCGCAGGGAGCTCCCAGTCCCACACGGAGCTCCACAGCGGGCTCCATCGAAGGCCCCACAGGGAGCTCCACAGGCCCCACGCCCACGGGGAGCTCCACCGAAGGCCCTAGTTGCAGGGTCCGCATGGCGGCCCCGCACCCGATTCGGCACACCCCTCACAAGTTCAGTGGCCTCACAGGGAGCTCCACCGAAGGCCCCAGCGGCGGGGTCCGCATGGCGGCCCCGCACCCGATTCGGCATACTCTGTATGTTTCGTGGCCCCACAGGGAGCTCCACCGAAGGTCCCAGCGGTAGGGTCCGCATGGCGGCCCCGCTCCCGATTCGGCACACCCCTCACACGTTTCGCGCTCCCACAGGGGGCTCCATCGAAGGCTCCAGTGGCAGGGTCCGCATGGCAGCCCCGCTCCCGATTCGGCACACCCCTCACACGGTTCGTGGCCCCACACGGAGCTCCACCAAAGACGGTAGTCACAGCTGCGGTACTCACAATTTCATATGGTTGGGTCTTTCGCCAGGATATGTTTCCAACACGTCGGCGCCAGATCGGTTTCCAAGTCGTTGTTGCACAGAGGGTGTCCAACACGATTGGGTGTGCCAAGTAGCAGAATGATTGGGTTTCTATGCCCGTCATAGAGCACCACATCGGTGAGAATGTGGAACTTGTATGTCGATTTGAAAGCGTATTTGTTCTTAGGGTTGCATCTCGATGCGCATGTCGGTTCGCCGTTCAATTTGCATGCCGAGCGCAGTAGTTCGATTTCAATCCCGACGTGCGTGTCTGTTAGCAGTCATATGTAACAGTCATATGTAAATGTGGGTTTGCATGTCGCTTACCATGTTGATTTGCAGTCTGGTGTTCATATCGATTGTATGCATCTGTGCACCCATATTCGCATTGCGTTTTGCGTGCCCAGTCCAACGGTACATGCTTTTCGATTCGTATGCCGAGTGCATTTGGATTTGCAACTCGAGTTTGATTCCTCGATGTAGTGGCATCAGCATTTCGAATACCGCTTCGCTTTGTTTTCGATCGCATTTCGATGGACACCACGACTTACATTCCGATTGCCATCATGATTTACATGCCCATTTGAGTTGGAGCTGCAATTCGACACATATGAAGATTGCAATGCATTTTTCAGATATATAGTATATGAGTGTTCAGTTTTTGTCAGTTCGAAGTTTCTGAGGATTTGCATGTTGACGCGCGGTCCGAATCTACATGGCTATGCATCTCCGCTTGTATTTCGCGTGCTATGCCAATGTGTCTTACAATTGCAATTCCTGGCTACAGTTTGTTTACAACGTGCGATCGCAGCTGAATTCGCATTTACGCTTTCATGCTATGTTGCATGTCGGTGATGGCTGGGTTTGTTGTTATGGTTGCATGTCGCTTGCCACTTAAATGTGCAATGCGATTTGGGTATGGTATTACATTACTCGGTATACCTATCGCTCTCGTATTAAAACCGCATGCCGATTTGCATCTCGAAATTCAATTCGTCTGGAGTTGGAATTGCATTTCGATGACCATTTTGATGGTTCGACTTCGCACTTTTATTTGCACATCTAACCACAACACAACCCGTTGGAACCACGGGACAAGCCAACCACGGGACAACCCACGAGAATATTGCGGAACGGTTGCGGGACAAGCACGGGATATTTCATGGGACATCCACGACGGGACAACCCGCGGATAATCCACAGGGCAAGGCGCGGGTCAACCCGCAGAACAGCCACGGGACAACCACGGGACAACCCACGGGATAACCCACGAGACGACCGTGGAACATCCACGGGACAACCCACGTGACAACCACAGGCTAACCACAGCGCAACCCAGGGGACAACCACGGACACCCCCGCGCGGCACCGCGAGACCGACGGCACATCTGTGTTGCCCGCTCGGGCGTCACGAGTTGAAGCCGAAACCGATTTCCCGGTTGTGACTTGTGCGTTAACCCTCCCCGTGACCTTGCATGCACCGACGATTTACCGTCTTATGATAAAGGGTCGTGCATTTTGCACCTCAGCTGCGGCAACACGGGAACAGATAGGCGGTTGGTTGGTCGCGATTTGGCAGCGTTTTGTCACACCATCGGAACGATTGAGTTAACCCGCATCGCAGACAATAGTTGGTGATTTTCTGCATGGCCCCAATGACGTACCTATAGGAACAGCCTTCCGGTGATGAGGAGGTTGTGAGGGTGTGATGAGCGCAGTCTCTCCGATTGGAGTCGGATCGGATTCGCTATCTACCCATCTAGCCGTTATACGACATCTATTAACCAGGTGCATATATACATATAACGGCGCACCGGGTCCGGGGGCCCGGGGCCGGGACCTCGACCGCAAATGTGCACCCCGGGGGCCCCGGAGGCTCGTCGGGGCTTGCCGGAGGCCTCCCCGGTCAGACAAGACGGCCCCAGAAACGCCCAAGACGGCCCAAGAAACTTCCAAGAGGCCTCCAAGAGGGCTCCGAGATGCTGAAGATGGCCTCCAGACGTCCAAGGACGCCCCCCAAGAGGCCCCAAGAAGCCTCCAACATGCGTCCCAAGAGGGCCCCTAGACGCAACAATTGCCCATTCCCTTCGTAAAACGTACATTTTTCACAAAGTTGCCTTTTGGGCTTTCCGACATTACAGGACGGCCCAAGAGGCGCCCAAGACCGCCCCAAGACGGCCCAAGAAGCTCCCAAGAGTGCCCCAGGACAGCCCAAGAGGGCCCCAAGACGGCCCAAGAGGCGCCCAAGATGGCCCAAGAGGGCCCCAAGACGGGCCCAAGAGGGGGCCCAGAGGGGGACCACGAACCGCAAGCTCGAGCCTTCCGCCCCAAGAGGCCGCCAGGAGGCCCCCAGGAGGCCCCTCAAGAGGCCCCAGGAGACCCCAGACGTCCAAGGACGCCCCCAAGAGGCTCCAAGAAGCCTCCAACATGCGTCCCAAGAGGGCCCCTAGACGCAAGAATTGGCCCATTCCCTTCGTAAAACGTACATTTTTAACAAAGTCGCCTTTTGGGCTTTCCGACGTTACAGGACGGCCCAAGAGGCGCCCAAGACCGCCCCAAGACCGCCCAAGAAGTTTCCCAGAGGGCCCCAGGACAGCCCAAGAGGGCCCCAAGACGGCCCAAGAGGCGCCCAAGATGGCCCAAGAGGGCCCCAAGACGGGCCCAAGAGGGGGCCCAGAGGGGGACCACGAACCGCAAGCTCGAGCCTTCCGCCCCAAGAGGCCGCCAGGAGGCCCCCAGGAGGCCCCTCAAGAGGCCCCAGGAGACCCCAGACGTCCAAGGACGCCCCCAAGAGGCCCCAAGAAGCCTCCAACATGCGTCCCAAGAGGGCCCCTAGACGCAAAAATTGTGCCCATTCCCTTCGTAAAACGTACATTTTCAACAAAGTTGTCTTTTGGGCTTTCCGACGTTACAGGACGGCCCAAGAGGCGCCCAAGACCGCCCCAAGACGGCCCAAGAAGCTTCCAAGAGGGCCCCAGGACAGCCCAAGAGGGCCCCAAGACGGCCCAAGAGGCGCCCAAGATGGCCCAAGAGGGCCCCAAGACGGGCCCAAGAGGGGGCCCAGAGGGAACCCCACGTGGGCCCAAGGAGGCCCAAGAGGGACCCAAGAGAGCCCCAAGAGAGCCCCAACATCGGTCACGCGGAAGAGCTCTCGCGTGACCGATGTTGGGCCCCTCTGTGGGCTCCTCTTGGAGCTCCGAGAGGAGCCAAAGATGGCCCCACGAGGGCCCCGACGAGACCCCAAGAGGACCCAAGCAGGCCCAAGAGGGACCCAAGAGAGCCCCAGCATAGGTCACGCGGAAGAGCCCTCGCGTGACCGATGTTGAGCCCCTCTTTGGGCTCCTCTTGGAGCTCCAAGAGGGGCCCAAGATGGCCCCACGAGGGCCCCGAGGGAGCCCCACGTGGGCCCAAGGAGGCCCAAGGAACCCCAAGATGGCCCCAACATCGGTCACGCGGAAGAGCTCTCGCGTGACCGATGTTGGGCCCCCTCTTTGGGCTCCTCTTGGTGCTCCGAGAGGAGCCCAAGATGGCCCCACGAGGGCCCCGTCGAGACCCCAAGAGGGCCCAAGGAGGCCCAATAGGGCCCCAAGAGGGCCCCAACATCGGTCACGCGAAAGAGCTCTCGCGTGACCGATGTTGGGCCCCTCTGTGGGCTCCTCTTGGAGCTCCGAGAGGAGCCCAAGGTGGCCCCACGAGGGCCCCGACGAGCCCCAAGAGAGCCCAAGAGGGCCCCAAGAGCGCCCCAACATCTCCTCTCCTTCCTCCTCCTCCCTCCTCTGCATCTTCCTCCTCCTCCTCCTTCTCATCCTCCTCCTCCTCCTCCTCCTCCTCCTCCTCCTCCTTCTCCTCTCCAGGGGAATGAAAACCAGAGGATAGCTCACGGAGAGCCCAAGCACCCTCTTGTTGCATCCATCTTGGCTTCCAGATGGAGCCCAAGAAGGCCCCAAGGAGGCCCCTCAAGAGGCCCCAGGAGACCCCAGACGTCCAAGGACGCCCCCAAGACGCTTCGCGTCACCAATTTCTTCTCGCAACGATTCCTGGGTCTGTGACTCGACAGAACCTAAGCGCGCGCGAAGCGCGCGCGTGGTTCTAGTATATATATATATACACATATGTGTATATATATGTGTGTTTGTATATAAGTTTATATAGATTGTGTACATCGGTTCCACTATCTAAGCGCTGGTACCACCGTATAGTGGGCACACGCACCATCGTTAGCACTACCATCTATGCACGACGAAGTTATTGACCTTTGTGATTTGTGCATTGTAGCGCGGTTGTTTGAAAAACACGACGTGCGCCAATATGACGATGTGTCGGCCGCACTGTCAATGTATCGGTCCCACTCGCGATCGCCCGCTGAGTATCAAACGACACAACCCACAGGACAACCAGAGGACAACCGCGGGACAACCACGTGGCAACCACGTGACACCCGCAGGACAACCGCGGGACAACCACGTGACAACCGCGGGACAACCGCGGGAAAAAAACGGGACAGCCGCGGGGCCACCGAGGAACCCTTTCGGCACGACCGCAGGCTGACCGCGGCACAGCCCACGGGACGACCGCAGCACCACTGCGGGACACAAGGGCTCCCTCGAGGGCGCGAAGTTATTCGCGCTTCGCGCTTCGCGGTCCTCGTTCCTTCTCCCCCTCCTCCTCGTCCTCCTATTCTCCCTTTGGGAGGGCGGCGCGAAGGCGCGAAGTTATTCGCACTTCGCGCTTCGCGCAGCGCGAAGCGCGAAGCTGGGAGCCCTGCGGGACACGTGAGGACCCTTTCGCGAGACCACCGCGGGGCCACCGCGGGGCAGCCACGGGACGGCCACGCGGCAGCCGCGCGACCGGGGCCCGGGCTCCCCGGACGTGGCCCGCGCATGGCCCCCTGCGAGCGCCCCCTCGACGCAGGACATGAGCTGCTCCTTTTCGCGCGCTCTTCCTACTCCTTTTTTGTCCAAGGGCTCCCTCGAGGGCGCGAAGTTATTCGCGCTTCGCGGTCCTCGTTCCTTCTCCCCCTCCTCCTCGTCCTCCTATTCTCCCTTTGGGAGGGCGGCGCGAGAGCGCGAAGTTATTCGCGCTTCGCGCTTCGCGCAGCGCGAAGCGCGAAGTTGGGAGCCCTAGTTTGTCAGTGGGCGAAACTTATCCCGCTCTCGTTTCATTTTCGGGGGGGGGGGCCGAAGTGCAGCCAGCTCCAGACGTCTTTGTGCTTGATGTTCCTGCATCCTTCTTCCAACTGGGCACTGGTCTTCGTGGCCGGCCATGCAACAACTCATGGTTATTTTGCTCCGCCGTCTAGTTCCGCCTCTCTCCTCACCTGCATACTCTTCATCCCCATGCCACGTCTCCTCGTCCTCTTTTTCTTGTGAGTCCCCTCCTTCGTTTCCTGATTATCCTCCTCCCCCCCTCCTCATCCCCCTCCCCCTCTCTTCCGGACCTTCAGCCTCCTTCTTCCCCATTTTTCTTTGTCAGAAGTAAGCACAATTCATGTGTTTTCGCCCTCGCCATGGTTCTCGTAACTGGGGGGCATGACCCGCAGAGGTTGCAATTAACCCCATTCTTCCTGCTCATCCTTGTCTTTCATGGCCTCTTCGCTCTCCCCTTCGTCCTTGTCATCGTCCCCCGCCATCCCCCTCCAGCTTCCCACAGTTTCCTCGCCTCCTCGTGCTGCGCCCCCCGCCTTCTCATTTCCATTGCGATCCCCGCGTGCTGCACTTCCTGGCACGGCGGGGGAAGAGCGGGGGCGATGCCGCGACACGCTGTGCGGGAGGAGAGGGGGGAGGGGGCGGGGGGAGGTGGGGGAGGGGGATGGGGACAAGCTAGGTGCGCTCGCGTCATATCTGACGTCCTACCCCTCCCTCCCATCCCTTACCATGGCGCTGATTTTCTCTATCCGCGGACGCGTGTCGTAGCGGACCTGTGGCTCCGCGCGCGCGTGCGTAGTGGGTGGTGGTGCACGTGCGTGCGTGCGTGCGTGTGTGCGTGGTTGTCGTGGTGGTGGTGGTGGTGGTGGTGGTGGTAGTGGTGGTGGTGGTGGTGGTGATGGTGGTGGTGGTGGTGCTGGTGGTGGTGGTGGTGGTGCTGGTGGTGGTGGTGTTGGTACTGGTGCTGGTGCTGGTGGTGGTGGTGGTGGTGGTGGTGGTGGTGGTGGTGGTGGCGGTGCGGCGCGGTGGTGGCGGGCGGATGGGCGCGCGAGAAAAAGGCCCGCGCTGGGGCGAGAACGCCATCCTGAACGACGGAGGCCAAACACCGATCCGAAAATGAGGCCCACGCTGCAGCGGGAGCACGATTCGGAACGATTCGGGAGCAGAAATGAGGCCGGCGCCTCAACGAGAGCAACATTTTGGGAAAAAATGACGCCGGCGCCTCAGCGAGAGTCGTTTCCCGGGATTTCCCGGGGATCCTGTGTGTAAAAAAACAGTACGCGGAGGGTGCGCGGCCATCACCCGGACGCCATCAGGGGAATAGGGAGAGTATTTTCATATTGAGTAATTGTGGAGGGGGAGAAGGGGGAGGAGGAGGAGGAGGGGAGGAGGAGGACGAGTAGGAGGAGGAGGAGGAGGAGGACGAGCTCCCCCCCCCCACCCCGAGGGCACAGAAGAAGAAGAGGGGGGGGGAGGTGGGGGAGGGGGAGGGGGAAAAGCCAGGTACGCTAACGTCACATCTGACGTCCTAACCCTCCCTCCCATCCCTTCTCATGGCGTAGATCTCCTATCTATTCGCACAGTCGGATATCGAGTAGGGCAATGGTCCCAAGAGGATGCGCAATGGAAGGAAAAGCATGGCGTAGAAAAAACACGGCAGAGCATAGCATGTCATAGCATGGCGTGGCATTGCGTAGTGAAGTATTGCATCACAAAGCATAGCAACGCAAAGCATGGCATTGCACAGCGGTGCACAACGCAGTATCGCATTGCATGGCGTGGCATGGCACTGGATGACTAAGAGGGTAAGAGGCCCCCGTCTATGAGAGGACAGG